AAAAGAAAGTGACTACTACAGTGATCAAGAGAGCAGGCTTCAAAGTGCTGCAAAAATTAAAGTTGCCCTTTTCCTTGGTTATCGTGCATAAGTGTATTTTGAAAGTTATTAGCTGGTATCACCCTAAATCACTGGGTTGTTAACCAGCAGATATTATCCCAAGCAGCTTATTAGGCATTCATTGCATAAGTGGAAATAAAGCTGGTAATAATTAGGAGGAACGTGATCGTTCCTACACTCTCCAAAACCTATCTTAGAACATTATGCAAAGGTACATGTAGCTCCTCATATTCTTTTTCTTTTTACTGATCACAAAGGTCAAAATCCTTTCACAATACTAACCACTTCCAGGTGTAGTGGGCACTCCTTCCCCACTCCAGTATTCTGACTCCAGGTAATTGGTACTAACTTTGTACATTATAACTACTTCTTTATATGTCTATCAACTCCAATAAGCAGTTAAGTTCCAAGGGAGCTGAAGTGCGTCTTATTTCCGTCTATTCTCATCACCAAGCAAAGGGCCTGGCATGTAACAGGCATTCAGTAAATGTTTGCTGCACATTTAAATTGTCCTTCTGATTGTTTCATAGTGCAAGATTTTCATTTAAAAACTATCAAAGAACTACACACCTATTAGAATGGCTTAAAAAAACAAAAACAAAAACCCCTGACAATTCCACATGATGACTAGGATGAGGAATAACCAGCACTCTTGAAAATTGCTGGTGGGAACGCAAAATGGTATACTTTGGAAAAATAGTTTGGCGCTTTCTTTTAAAGTTAAACATACACTTACCATATGACCTAGCAATTTCACTCCTAAAGATTTACCCAAAATAAATTAAAACACATATCCCCACAAGAACTTGCACATAAATGTTTACAATAACTTCATGAAACAACTTGATTCATAATTTCAAAAAACTAGAAAATACTCATATGTCCATCTACTAGTGAATGGATAAACAAAGTGTGTACATCCATATAATGGAATATTATTCAGCAATAAAAAGAAATGAAGTACTAATATATACTAGAACATGGATGACTCTTGAAACAATTATTCTAAGTGAAAGAAGCCAGTTACAAAGGACCACATATTACATGATTTCATTTATATGAAATGATGTCCAGAATAGGCAAATCCATACAGACAGAAGGTAGACTCATGGTTGCCTAGGGCTAGGGGCTGGGGGGAAGAAGAAACAGGGAGTGACTGCTAATGGGTATGTGGTTTCTTTTGAGGTGATGAAAACATTCTAGAATTAGTGGTGACTGATGCACAACTTTGTAAATACACTAAAAACCACTGCATTGTATACTTTAAAAAGGAGCCCTGGTGGCACAGTGGTTAAGTACTTGGCTGCTAACCAAAAGGTTGGCAGTTCAAATCCACCAGCCACTCCTCAGGAAAAAGATGTGGCAGTGGGCTTCTGTCTGCTTCCAACAAGATTACGGCCTTGCAAACCCTATGGGGTAGTTCTACTCTGTCCTGTAGGGTCTCTATGGGTCGGAATACCAACTTGACCGCAGTAGGTTTGGTTCTGGTATACTTTAAAAGGGTATACTTTATGGTATGTGAATTATATCTCAATAAAGCTGTTATTAAAAAATAAAACAATTTCTAAGGTTTTAACGGGGACTATGCTGCTACCTACTTTAGGTATAGAATAAGACCTAATAACTTGCTTAAACCTTTTGATTCAAGGTAGGCAAAGTCTTGACTCTAGCTCTTCCATTCAGGAACCACTAAAGGACAGAGGTAATTAAACCTAAACCAGACACAGTATAGCTCAAAAGGCAACCCTGCTGCCACTCAAATAACTAATGCCATCCCTGGTCACAATCACGTGTCATTTACATTTCTAAGGATGTCTTCAATGCTCCTCCAGGGACCTATAAGCAGTTATTAGCCATATTGCCTACAAACAGCATCTTCTCATGTCTCTCATTGCTTCCAATGAATTTTTTATCCCAGAGATCGCTATCTTACAGCGATGTACTCTGTCCTTCGAAGACCCAGCTCATCCCATTCATAACCAGGGCACATTTTAAGAATGATGTGCTCCAGTATCTACCTAGAAGCGTCACTGGGCCATGAAAGATGCCTATCTCCATAAACACCACAACTCTGCCCTGCTGCTGTTCATTTCAATCAATATTTGACTTGAGTGGTTAGGTGAGGAGATACGTAGCAGAATTCGCAGATTCACCAGAATCTGACAGGGGCCGCGACGTGAACGCTTCTGCTGTGGCCCCCTGTTATCCTCTATGACCTTTGTATTTAAGAAGTCAACAGCAAAACTAGCTGTTTTTATGCAAATAGTCCAATGGCAATGAAGGCAATAAAGCAACAACTGTGCCAATTTGGGTCAGGAGCTGTCTAGGGGTCCCCTTTTCAGAAACCAACAGATGATGCTCAGCCCAGTGCACACACAGCTATGGACTACAGCGTTTCACTGTCACTCCCTGGCCACCACTGGAGAGGTCACCAATGTGCATGCGTGTGTATTTTTATGCAGGGAACCTGGTAAGTACCAAAGAAATTCACTCTTAATTGATGAAATTAGCTCCAAGTTGATGTACAGAAACACAGTTTCTATTTCTCAGTTTCCAAATCTCTCTCTCCTAGTGAAAGAAGGGTTAAAAAAGCAAACAAAACAACAAACAAAAAAATCCTGCATCACATTTATTGTATAATTCTGATTCCAGAAGAACACAGAACATATACCTTAAGTCAGGCCAATAATAAAAATAGATTAAGTAACCAAAAGAAGTATAATTGAATAGTATGGGCAAGAGCCAAAAATGTCTTAACCATTTTTAAAGCTTTATAATTTTTGAATTTGTACAGGTTTACTCCCCAACCCTCTTTATGCCAATCCATCCCTGACATAAGATAACACTGGTTTGTAATAGCTACCAATCTGTCTCTGGGGAGAAGGAAATAGACATATATATTGTTTTTTATAACAAGCCTTGCAGAACTGATTACATCACAGCTACCATATTAATATGTGATTAATACGTGCCACAACCTGTGCTGAATATTTCATTTGGATTATTTCATCTAATCTTTATAACTGTCCTATGAGGTAGATATTACAGTTCTTAATACAAATCAGGTATCTTTGAAGAAGGCTAACCATATGTGTTAATTGGTATGTAAGCACGCCAGGAAGAAGAGAACATTTACAAGTCCTTAATCTAATCTTCTATTTAAATGTTACCACATTTAAGATGATCATATAACTTTACAACGCATCTAAATGTAATAAAATACTTGGTATTTGCAAAGTTAAAAAAAAAGCCACTTTAAAATAAAGCCTGTATCATTCTATTTGTTTCTCCTAAACGTACTTAGAGATCATAAAGTAAAATGTAATACAGGTAGTCCCCAACTTACTACATATTCGAGTTACAACGAACTGCACTTACCGTCTATTTGTTTCTGATTTTTGTTTTACATCTTATCATTAATAATACATAAGTATATACATATTAAAATATATCTGTAAGTTTACATATAATGGCTCCAACCCTGAAAGACAAATAAAGATCAGATTTATAAAGATACTGATAATAAAAGGAAATAATAATGAAAACTAAAAAAAAAAAAAAATGAGGTGTTTGACTTATATCAGAATCGATTTACAACGGAGTCGTCAGAACAGAACCCCATCGTAAATCAGGAATTACTTGTAATTTGGATTAAGGACAGATCAGTCAGAATTTCTGAAACGTCTACATCGCAGAATATTTTTAAAAAGAACAGCTTTATTATTTTTAAATGTTAGTGCTAACAAAATTTTACCAAGTGTGCTGAAAGCAGTTTTATTCTTTCTTCATTTATTCCACATGTTTATTGAGAATTTGTAATATGCCAGGCATTAAAGATAAGAAACCAGTGGTCTGGTTACAGATAATTATTATATAATGAGGTAAATGCAATGACAGAGCTATGTGCTGGGAATTATAGGAGCATAAACAAGGAAGGGGTCGAAAATGCATCCAGAAAAAAGGATGGCGCACGGAGCGAGGTATTTGAGCGGGAGGAGGGGGAGGTGGTGAGACATAGGGAAGAAATCAAAAGAAGCAGAAGGGAAGGCGGCACTGGCAGCGGACGGGTGGCGCTTGGAGGGCCAGCCGGTGCGGGCTGGTGTTTCTCCGAACCGAGGCTGTGTCCGCGGGAGGCAGGGGCGGGGGCCGAGTGTGGGTGCGTAGGGGTGGGGAGTGGGAGAGCGTGTGTCACAAGTTGCTGGAGCTCTGCAGCCCCTCAGGAAGAGGCAAGGATGGCGCACGGAGCCAGCTTGTGAGCCAAAGGGCTGATGTCTGATCTGCCGATCCTGGGTTCGCCAGCCCCTGCAGCTATATGAGTCAAGAGAAGCCTCCAGTCTGACCCACGGACTTGGGACTTTTCAGCCCCTACAACCGCTATACGTGCTGGAAAGCAAACTCTGTGATCTTACAAGAGGAGGAGGGAAAAGACTTGAGCTCTTTTGTAGCTTCTCTTATTCAAGTGATGTTGCATCCCTAAACAAAACAAAACAAAAAACAAACCCATTGCTGTTGAGTTGATTCTGACTCATAGAGACCATATAGGGTAGAGCAGAACTGCCCCATAGGGTTTTTAAGGCTGTAATCTTTATGGAAGCCAACTGCCGCATCTTCCACCTGTGAAGCAGCTGTGAGATGAAGAGCAGATGTGGGAAAATGTGTTGAAGATAACTTATTGAGAGTGATACTAAACATTGCTTTTGTGGTCCTAAGAGTTCATGGCTCACCTATGGAAACGTAAATGCTATTTGTCTTCAAGGAAAGTTTGTTTTGTTTTTTCTCCCTTCCCTGCACATAGGGTCCCCAATGAGTCATAGTCATCTCTATGACAGTGGGTTTGGTTTCATGGACAATTTGCTTTGTGTTCTCATATTCTTACTTGGAGCCTCTATATCTGTGTACAAAACTTACAGGAAATTTGTTATGTTAGAGACAATTTATTTTGTCTTCCATTTCTTTAGCAGCGTTTCTCTTACTTCCTTGTTATGTAGCGTATAGATAAAGGGGTTTAGAACTGGAATCACCACAGTGTTCAGGACGTGGGCAGCCTTGGTCAGATCTAAGGTGTCCTTGATTGAGGTGCGGACATGAAGGAAGATGGTGGATTCATACCAGATGAACACCAGTTAGATGAGAGGAGCATGTGGAGAAGGCTTTACTCCGGCCGCTGGCTGAGGGGATCCTGAGGATGGTGCTAATGATGAAGATGTAGGAGACCAGGGTGATGAGGCAGGAACTTAGAACGACCACAAAAGCGATCACAAAGGCCACGAACTCCACTGCCTGTGTGCTGGTACAGGCCAGGGCAATCCAGAGGGCGATGTCACAGAAGAAGTGATTGATGGCATGTGGGCCACAGAAAGAGAGCCCACTGAGGAAGGCTGTGGGCACTGCAATGGCCAGGAAGCCACAGACCCAGGAGCCCAGGGCCAGCTGTGCTGAAAGCAGGCTGCTCATGATGGCTCCATAGTGTAGAGGATAGTAGATGGCAAGATATCGGTCATAAGCCATGGCTGCCAGGATGAAGTATTCCATGCAGCCTAACGAGAAAACAAGGTACATCTGCAAAAGGCGGCCAGTGAATGATATGGTCTGGCTTCTCCCAAGGAGGATGGCCAGGGCCTTGGGGACTGCAGCTGTGGTATACCAAATCTCCAGGAAAGAGAGGTTACTCAGGAAGAAGCACATGGGGGTGTGGAGCTGGTGAGAAGTACTCACCAACACCAAGATAGCAACGTTACCACTGACTGTGAGGATGTACATCACCAGAAAAAGCATGAAGAGAGAGCTGAAGGGCCTGGGAGCCTGGAAAGCCCAACAGGAGAAATTCCTGGGAGACATTTCCATTGTCTGTGCCCATTGTGGTACTGAAATAAAGCAGGAAACAGAGACCCAAGACTGAAAGACTTTGAAACAAATTACACACTCCTCAAAAAATAAAAGTAAATGGATTCATGAAAGAGTGTCAACTGAATGTAGCTGTTCAGACATTTTCTTACACTTATGAATGCCTCTTCTGTACCTGGAGCAGTACCTGGTTAAAATATTAGTCAATTTAATGCAGCAGTGAGTCATTTGTTACCACCAAGTATCAGTTTAGGGAACTAATATGTAAATAATTTTATCTATTTTTGCAAAGAATGCAAATTTAAGATACAAGATTCAAACCCAGCCTATCTGCCTCCATCAGCCTATTCTAGGCATTACCATCTATTTGCTTCAGCCATAGATTACATCTAAACCCACAGGACTGACCCTTTTTCATCAGGACTCACTATTTTCTAAGTCAATTTTGTGCATTGTCCTTGAATAAAAACATGTAATTTTTTCTTTGTTCAAAAAACAAAAAAGAAAATGCATCCAGAAAAGGGAGGCCAGAGGTACAGAGACTTGTTAAATGAGTACAGAAGCCAGGATCAACTTCCTCAAGAAATTCTGATCTAATGGTTTTGGAGTAGGACCCAAGAATAGGTTCTTCGAAGGATGTATAGGCTATAATCTATCTGTAAACAGGCAGCACTTATTTGAAATAGCCAGTTGTTTCCTTGTTACCAAATCCTGGAAAACTATTACACTAAGGACGTGGCTTAGCAAACTCTTTCTCCAAGACAGCATGAGGTTAATTTGTGTGTGAATGTGCACAACTTCCAAATAAAATTCTACCACAAAAGGGTCCTACTTCAAAGACTTTTTTTTTTTTTGCAGCCTTAAATCTATTCCCTGATTTTCAACTTTGGGGGTTTGGGAGGGAATACTACCCTTATCTGTTGAGCTAGACCTACAAATATTCACTCTCCAGCATACTCAGGCTACAAATAATCTAATTTCCTCCTATTACCTTTTATTTATAGAGAAATTTGCAGCTCATAGACGAGCCTTGGTGGTGTAGTGGTTAAAGCACTCAGCTGCGAACTGAAAGGTCAGCGGTCTGAACCCAGAAGCTGCTCCGCAGGAAAAAGATGTGGTGGTCTGCTTCCGTAAAGATTTACAGCTTTGGAAACCCCTTAGGGCAGTTCTACTCTGTCCTATACGGTCACTATGTCAGAATCAACTGGAGGGCAACGGGTTTGGTTGCAGTTCACGAAGATTTTCATGCACATCCATGCTCATCTGAACCTCATTAAGGTGTTCCTTTCAGCCTTACTGTGCCCTACATCCCTTCAACATACCCTGGAACCTTTCTCCTCTTATTAAATCAACAACCAAACCCAATGCCGTCAAGTTGATTCTGGCTGATAGCGACTCTACAGGACAGAGTAGAATGGCCCTATAGGGTTTACAAGGCTATAAATCTTTACAGAAGCAACTGCCACATCTTTCTCCTGTGGCACAGCTGGTGGATTTGAACCACTGACCTTTTCAGTTAGCAGCCAAGTGCTTAACCACTGTGCCACCAGGGCTCCTTCAAACCAACAATGGGGCTATCAAAACCTCTTGGAATTATATAATAGCAGAACTGATCGATATTGGCTATGTGCCCTGCACTGTTTTAAGCACTTTACACATTTTATCTCATTTCTTCCTCACAAAAGCCTATGGAAGCAAATACTATTATTATCCCCAGTTTACAAATGAGAAAACTAAGGCACAAAGATATCACACAAAGTATCTGAGCCAGGATTCAAATCCAGATAATTCAGAGACTTAAAGCCATTCTGCTCTTCTGCCTCTAGGTTGAGAATCATTCCTAGTTAACAATTCTCATTTCTGTTAATGTTTAACCATTATTTTTCTACTCATGCTGGTGTTGGGTGTGCTTGTGAAAGAAAGATACACCTTCTCAAATTATTGTTTCTTATTCTTTTAGCTGAATTCCACAGGAACAAGGGAAAGCAAAACCATGCATAATTCTAAAGCATTTTTTTCAGTTTATAATTTCAAATTTCTCTCCTAGGAAAATCTTCACCAGGCTTATTAAAGGACTAAAAAAACCCTGATGTTTTGCTTCAATTTGTATGGCAAATCTTATTTTGTGGATACAGTTTACTTAAGTTAAAAAACTTTAAGTAGTCATTTTCTTTAGAAAAGTAATTACAGTAGTGCAGTGCTCCTTTTAAGGTTCAGCTATTTAAAGGTTAATAAACTGATTCAATTTACAAAAATTAATTCTATTCCCAAGATCAAAGATGTTGTGGGAACATTTATTGCATAAAAAGTGAGATACCAATGTAAAAAAAAAATGTATACATATATGAGGTAAATACAGACATACAAACATATATATATATATATATGGAGTCCTGGTGGCACAGTGGTTAAGAGCTCAGCTGCTAACCAAAAGGCTGGCAGTTCGAATCCACCAGCCGCTCCCTGGAAGCCCTATGGAGCAGTTCTACCCTGTCCTACAGGATTGCTATGAGTCGGAATTGACTCGATGGCAATGGGTCTAGTTTTGGTTTTATATATATATATATATAACTCTTTCCATGTACCCTACTATCACCAGAATATTTTATGCCTTTCTGGAGGGAGGCAGAAGAAAAAACAAGTCAGCAGACCAGCAGTGTTACAATTATCCTCACTCAACAAGACTACAGGGTATATGCAATATTCCAAAAACAAAGGCCCAAAAGGGGAATTTCAAGACACAATTTGAGGAAGGAAAAAGAGGAGAGAATCCAAGAGGAAATGAAAAGGAAAAAGTAGACAGAACTCACTAGCTGTACAACTGTATGCATGAAATAGTCTTTTTACTGGGATGGATCAGTGGTAGCCAGAATTATAACACTCTGCTGCTCTGGAGTTGGTAAGAGTAAAAATACATAAAACACAGCACACCATAAATGCTCAAATTTTAATTGAAGAAGTTACTTAGCCTCCCTATGAATCAGTTTTCTTACCTGAAAAATGTAGATAACAATAATATCTTATATGGATGTTATAAAGATAATATTTATAAAAGCACTTTAGTATACTACGGAGCACAGAGAAACCAGTATCCAGTTCCTGTCTAGCTGATTCCAATTCATGGTGACCCCATGTATGTCACAGTAGAAATGTGCTCCACAGGGTTCTCAATGGCTGACTTTTCTGAAGTAGACTGCCAGGCTTTTCCTTCCAAGGCACCTCTGGGTGGACTCAAACCTCCAGTCTTTCAGTTAGCAGCCAAGCACACTTAACTGCTTGCATGATCCAGGGACTCCATATGTAGCACATAGTAAGTACTAAATAAGTGTTAAATAAATAAACAAATGAATATCATTCCTCTCTGTCATCAAGCAGGAAGGTGGAGGCGGTCATATACTACGATATGGAAGTACTGAATGAACCTCAGTTCTGTTTTCATGAAGAATAACGGACCAAGGTAAAAATGAAGCATGCTTTACAGGGATTCAGCTATGGAATTGTGAAAGAAGAAAAGTGGCCAATAGATTGCTTTCAACTAAGTGGAACTGAAAGTATATAAGATATATGAAAAATTGGCAGCAATTATTCTGAAGTAATGGAGGATAGGAAAGTTGCTGGAGAACAAAAGAAAGGAGGGAAAATAACACACACATACTTAAAGGGTAATACATAAACTACTGAATAATCTATAGTCACTTGGAAAAATGAAAGGTATGAACAAAATTTCAATGGATATAAATGCTTTTTTCATATGAATAATTTTTATGATTTTCATAGGTCATCTACCCTTATATAAAAAAAATTTCACTATAAAGTGAACGATATCACCCATGAGGAACGTGCTCCTCAGAATAATCAACCATATGAGACCAAAAGGGAAGCATTTGCCCAAAAACACAGTTCAGAAGGCACGAAGGGGCAGGAAGGATGGGCAAATGGAAACAGGGAACTCAGGGAGGACATGGGTAGAGTGCTATCACATTGAGGGGACTGCAACTGATGTCATGAAACAAAATGTGTATAAATTGTTGAATGGGAAACTAACTTACTCTGTTAAACTTTCATCCAAATCATAATAAAATGTTAAAAAACAAAAACAATTTCATTTAAAATGTAAAGATAAAAGCTCGAAGATAGTACCTAGGAATATCGTTAGTGATAACAAATTAGAATATATGTAAAAGTGCTTTGTCAACTGTAAAGAAAGCACCACATAAAATTAATAGAAATTGTCAGTATAACATATGCATTCAGCCTTTTTTCGACAATTGTTTTATTGTTAAAAAAAATATAGCTTTACAAAATTTGATGAAACATTCTACCTACTGGAAATGAAAGCTTAGCCTGGTAGACAGCAAGCATCCAAGAAAAGTCTTACATTCTCTTTGTAAATTATAAATTGTGTCTCTCTATATAATGTTTTATTAATAGCAGCATACTAATGGAAGTCCACAGATTTATGCATAAAAGTGAGAAATGAAACAGAAACCACAATTTGTAAAAATATACTATAACTGGCAGTTTAGACAAACTGAGTCAAATTGTGACATGGAATACAAACTAGCTAAGCTCAAATTGTTTTAAACATCAGTTCATACAGACCCGTATGTTCCAAGATAAGACTATATACCTGTGCTGTCCAATATGGTAGCCACTACCCACATGTGGCTATTGAGCACTTGAAATGTTGCTAGAACGAACTAAGATGTGTTGTAGGTATAAAATACACACTGGATTTCTAAGACTTAGTACAGAAAAAAGGAAGGAATGTAAAATATCCCAATAATTTTTTATTAATTGCATACTGAAAAGACAATATTTTGGATATAGTGGGTTAAACAAAATATATTACTAAAATTAATTTTACCTATTTCTTTTTTACTTTTTAAACGTGCTACCAGAAAATTTTAAATTACCTATGTGGCTTGCAGTCTATTTCTATTGGGCAGTACTGTCACAGACAAATAGATTTAACAGTAATTCCTGTTGAAATTCTATGGTTCCAAAGTTAACACCACCAACTCTTCCAGCAACATGGCCAGTTTACAAATTTTGGCCAATTCCTGCCCAAACCCTGCTTACTAACTTCTACCCTAAAACCACCCTATGGCTAATCTCAGCCCCCAAAATTTTATTTAAGTACCCTAGCTTCCCCCCTTTTTAGGACACTTCTAAGACTCTGTCAAGGTGGTGCTACTCTCCCTTGCTTAGCAAGTCTAAGAAACCCAGCTTTGTATGATCAACAGTTTTCCCTCTGAAAAAGTTAATGAATAAGGGTTACAAGATGAAATAAGCTGTACTGAGGATGCACTAAGTTTAACAAACAGAAACAATGAAGTTCAACTAGAAAAACATAGTTTATATGTAAGTTGTTCTGTCTAGTAATTTAAATTGTTGTTGTTGTTAGTGCTGTCAAGAAGGTTCCAATTTATGGTGAGCTTATATACAACAGAATGAAACGCTGCCTGGTCCTGAGCCATCTTCCTGATTACTGGTATGTTTGAGTTCACCATTGCAACTATTGTGTAGTGCCTTCCAACCTAGGGAGCTCATTTTGCAGCACTATATCAAACAATATTTTGTTGTGATCCATAAGGTTTTCATTGGCTAATTTTTGGAAGATCACCAGGCCTTTCTTCCTAGTCTGTCTTAGTCTGGAAGTTCCACTGAAACCTATCCATGGGTGACCCTGCTGGTATTTGAAATACCAGTGGTGTAACTTCCAGCACCATAGCAACATGCAAGCCACCACAGTATGACAAACTGACAGACGGGTGGTGGAGTGATTTAAATTACCTAAATTAAAATCCACACCTGCAGCAATCTACGTTATTTTGGAAGAGTAAATCTGGTGGGCACTAAGGTCCCTGGTATGAGAACATGTTAGAAACAACAGGTATAATGCATCAACTTTATTAAGGCTTCTGAATCGTATGAACAAGCTAGAAATTATCTAGGTTTTTAGACTTCAATATGGTAGAACCCTTATTATTTTCATGATTTGACATCCAACTGACTGGGTCTTTAGAGCAGAAGTGGATGGGGTTTTAGGTCAGACACAAAGCAAACATGGTGATCTCAACTAGTTTTTTCAGTTTCAGGACTCAGTGAAGCACCATTTTAAAGCACAACAT